TCGGCTTGCTATTATCAGTTATTATAGACAGGAAGTATTTAATATTGCTATTATAGATTTTATTAACTCAGTTTTTTATATATAATATTAGATAGATATATACTTTAAGAAGTTTAAGCAGTTTTATTAAGTATATATAGATAATATAATTATTATCTTATATACTCTTAATAAGTATCTATATTATCTTAAGCTAGTATTCCAGAAACTTAAGTTATTAAATATCTATCTTAAAGTATCTAAAGCATTCTTTAGTTTTCTATCAGTTTAATTACTTAAATAATAAATTAATATATTAGATCTATCAATACTAGAAAAGAAGATTAAAACTATATATAATCTTATCTTCTTATAGATCCTGAAAAACTTAGAATCTTATCTAGAACTTACTAAATACTTCTATTACTATATTAAGTATTATATATAGAAAATTAAAATACTTTAAGAGCACAAGATCTTACTACTTAAGAATAGTTCCTGAACTAGTATTAAGTATTATTAATAGTCTGAAGAAACTATAATTAAACTAACTCTAAGAAAACTTAAAGTATTTAATAAGCTTTAGTCTAAGTTTACTAGTTCTAAATTTCTTGTCCATTTCAGTCCTAATAATTAACTATATATTGATCTTGATATATTAAAGTATAGATACAGTACTATAGTATTCTATCTAGTTAATTATTAATATACTGATCTAATTAAACTATCTTTTTAGACTATAGTTAGACCTGTACTATTTCTTAGCTAACTACTTATCTCAGTAAAGAAAAACTACTGGCTAACAGAACTTAAAGTATCTTATTTTATATAGATACTGTATAAAATATATTATTTACTATATATATCTAAACTTTCTGCTATTATATATACTGACTATTTAGTAACTGTTACTATTGCTTAATAGAGCTTATTAAATATAGTTATACTAGAATATCTTAATCTTTAGCTAATCTAAGCTTTACAGTATATTTAATAATATTAACTAAAAGTATTCTATAAGCTGGGCTTGTCTAATACTATTATAGATATACTGTCCTGTCTTCCTGTTAGCTTAATAAGAATAAAAATAAAGATATCTAAGGTCTATAAATTAGATCTTGATAAGCTTATAATTACTAGCTATACTTTTGCTAGTTCTACTATTAAGTTATCAGATAAGTTCAAATAACAAGTCTATAATAGCTATAAGAAAGATATATATATATAGTAAATTCTTAATATTTTATAATCTAATTCCCTGATATCTATCTTTACTAATCCCGGAACTGACTAAACTATTCCTTAACCTGTTTATCTACTGACTAACCAGTACTTGATTCTGTATTTTAAGAATAATAGATTGCTATATATAATTAAATACCAAGTCTATAATAATAATATTATTAAGAAACTATAGCTATATATCTCTTATTCTATGGTCCAGTCTCTATTCTAGATAATCCATAATAATCAGAACTACTAAGATCTTACTAAGTATATAGATACACTACAAGGTCTTACTATATTCTGAATCTACAGGAATCTTACTAAGTATATTAAGCACTGTCCTACCTGCCTGTATAATAATATATACTATTATCTATTTTATAGTAGCCTATATCCAATCATTATACTACCAGTTCTATTCTATATAATTATATTAGATTTTATTATTACCTTATCTGTTAATTAAGGATATAATTAATTGCTAGTTATTATTAATAAATTTACTAAATATATTAGACTAATCCCTAGTTATACTGATTAATCTTTATCTAAATAGAAAGAACAGCTTATTAAGTACTTCTAAGCTTATAATTAGGATATACTGTTATAGTTTATCTCTAATAGAGATTTATGTTTTATATCTGGCTTTTAGAAAGGTCTCTTCAAGAAACTAAACACTAAATAGCACTACTTAACTGCCTACTATTTTTAAACTGATAGACAGATAAAATATATTAACCAGACTATTAAAATTATAATTTAATATCTTGTTATCTTATTTTAAAAAGTTAAATAGTTAAACCATATATCTTCTATTATATTAATAATTAATAGTTTACCTAATATCTTTACTAAACAGACTCCTTATAAATTACTTTTTGGCATTAATATCAGACAGCCATGGAATCTAGTCTATTGCCTTATTAGCAAGCAGGACTTCTCTATATGGCTTGACACTAAAGAGATAATGAAATTTACTATAATTTAAATAAAGCATATCTATGATAGATATTACTAATCTATTAAATTTAATATTAATAACTGTATTTATCTCTGACTACACCGCGGTTATACTATCCCGACTACCTGTTGAGATTGTCCTGTCAAGTTCCAAGGTCAATATGCAGGGCCTTTCAAAGTTATTAAATGAATAGATCACCTGGCATACTGATTGGAACTACCAAGTACTTGATATATATATAATATTATATCAGTAGCTCAACTTAAACCCATACTAACTGCTGATCTCTTTGGGCGTGAACCTCATTGACCTCCTGTAACTGTTAATAATTAATTCTCTACTGATACTGACTGTTGGGAAGTTAAGAAGCTTATTAATCAACACACTGTCCGATTAGGCCGGAATAGAACTAAATATACTAAATATTTGGTTCGCTGGCTTGGTTATAGACCTGAGAACAATACCTGGATGCACCGTGAAGTATTAATAGAAGATTATAAGGAACTTATTAATGATTATGACCGCGATAATCACTGATAGCTCTACTTTTCTCTTATTCTAAATTGCTGATAGCTCTGCTTTTCTCTTATACTACTATATCAACAAGGATATTGACTTTTATTATACCCCTAACTGTTGCGCGCTTCAGCGCTATCTTTCTGTTTGCTGTTGCTCCCGTTCCTTTCTGCCTACCTTGCTGTACCGCCCCTTTCACTGCTTTGTATGTAGAACTTAGCAGCATCCTGCTCCTGCAGCTTAAGAAAATCAATCATTCCACACCATAATCAGAAGCACTCAACAATATTATAGATAATAAAGTTACTAGTATAATGATAGAAAAAATTATTTTGTTACTATAAATAATTAAGATAAATATTAGAAATTAATATTATTTCTATTAATTTCTATTAAATATATTTCTCTTACTCTTTTATCTTTTTCTAAGTCTATACTAACTGATACTATTTAATATCTATAAATTTTAGCTATTAATTAATATACTTGCAGTTATTTAACTTTATATATTTACTATATTAAATCTTCTAATTTAATATATAGCTTATTTAAATATATATAGTAAATATAAGGAAGAACTATCTTAAAATCTTTATTAAGAATATACTAAGAGAGTTTTTACTTTTAAGAGAATCTAATAATAAAAATTATAATTAAATTAGTATATATAATTTATAAAAGAAATAATAGAGTATATAATTCTACTTACTATATATTAAAAAGATAAGGCTATTTATCTACTTTTAAAAATAAAAATCTTAAAAGAGAGAGATTATTATAGAATAAGAACTATTAGCTAATAAATTAATAAAAAACTAATAGTTATATAATACTAGTAGAGAAATAATAATCTAAATTAGAGATATTATTAAAAGAAATATATATACTAGATATATTTAATATACTTTAATAATATACTGAATATACAGGAGTTATATATATCTATATAGAAGAAGATATACTGGAATATATTTAGAATATATATATGTCGGAGCCTAAGGCAGTAACCACGTGACCTGACCACAACACCAAGGAATCTCTGTATGATAGAATTAGACCTTAAGACAATCAATCCCATTACACGTGAGCTACACCAGCTCCATCAATATATAAAAATAATTATTTCCTATACTTAGTTCTATCTACTGTATCTTATTGACAGAGCATAAACTAGCCTACCTTTTAATCTTATACTCTGATTATTGCATACTCCTACTCAAGCCTATCCAGAATAACCATAAGACTCCAATCTTGTGAAGGATCGGAAGGCCTTATCTGACATACTCCTGATATACTTCTGGGGGTAGACACAGGGTAGGTAGTCACATGACAAGGCTAGTATTGCTCCCTTTATCTCTGTCCCCTATGTTCCTCTGATTATTGTAGTCTTATCACTTTCTGCCTTGTGTCTGCCCTCCTGATAAGGCACGCTAGACAAGGGTCTGTAACAATATAGAAGTATTGAATTACTGCTAAGAGAATTATAGAGAATCTATATAGAGAGAAGGGAGGTAATTATAGCGGGCTGAAGCCTATTAGTATACTCAGGCTATTAGCCCTCGTTTCCGTATTCGTCACATGGTGTATTTCTGTCCCTCCTTCCTGTCATACCTCATTGTCTCACTATTGATTCTTCTCCTCTTTTCTTTCTTCCTCAGTGTTTTCTTCTTGTTTGACAGCTATGATAGTTTATCGAACGTTGCGGGTCCTATCCCTTACAGCTACCAATTGTTAGATGCTTCTGATTATGGTGTAGGAAGATTAATTTCTTTAAGCCCCAGGAACAGGACGTTTGCTAAGTTCTATATACAAAGCGGTGAAGGGGGCAGTACAGCGAGGTAGGCAGAAAGGAATGGGAGTGACAGCGAACGGAAACATAGTGGTGCCATGGAAACACAACAATTATACATTATAACTCTAAGAGATTAGTACTGCCGTTATACCTTTACCTCCCGCCTACCGCTTCTGTAGACTAGCTAGCAACTCCTGGACGACATATCGCCTCGCCCTAACACAATCCTCATTCTCCAAGATCGGTTGACTGCCGTATCTTTACTTCTAGTACACTTAATATTTCCTGCTGGTTTGGGTAGTTACCACCATACCGCGGCTTGAGCCCTAGATAGTCCGCACATAGCAAGAATCAACAAACATACTCAAAAATTAGATCATCCCACTGAATGCATAACAATATAATAGTAATTTGACTGAGTTTCTATTTCATCTGTGATAAAGGATTGTATTTATATAAACCTAGTCTTTGCTACTTAAATTAGGTAGTTCTCTAAAACTTTACGATTCAATTATTTTAAAGATATATTCCTGATTCAACTAAGATTAATATTTCCTTTATAAGTAAAAAACAGAGAATTTATAAAAAACTTCCCTTACTGAATCGAGAACCAAAGTCAGAGGCCCTATTTATCATCTCTCGTCGTTGGGAGCTGCTTATTTGAGAGGAGGCTACGTCCTTTTCCCTGTCAAACGGGCGACTGCTTGGGTCGTCTTCATCGCTCTTTTTGCGCTCCTTGAGATGTTGCGATACACCCTCTGTAATATCACCCTCACGTCTTGCATCCTACAGTTGGTAAGTACTTTCTGGACCTAGCAATATGCCGATGCAGTGCTTGCTATAACTCACCTTATATCTTTTGATACTGTCTCGCATGGTCTGCGATAGCTTGGAAGACCGAGCTACTTGATCATTACTTGGGCCAACTGTGCCGACACCCATGACTTCATCTTGCAAACGTTTCATTTTCTCGTCCGGTGTTTCTGTCCAAGATGAATCTATCTTCCCTGATGCGGGGTTTGATGCTGATCTTCCGGTTTGGAACTTTCGACTCCTTAACTTGGTCGGATCGACCCTTGAAGTCCATCCGCTTGATTCCGGAGGCTGTAGCATCCACTCATCGCGATGACTCCGCTCCTTGACAGTGTGGCCTTGCTCGGTCGACATGCCTTCCAAGCTGTAGCCACGTATCTTCATATCGGCTCCCTCGGGCACCACAGGACCTGAAGGGGGTAGGCTCGGGCCGATTTCATCATCGTCGCTGCTTTCGTCTTCGCCCTCAGAGTTTGGGGTGTGTTCGTCTATTGTATTTGATAAAGGTAATGTTGGCCCGACCACCTTTCGTCGTTTGGCTGATGTATCAGAGTCGTCAACAGCATTTTTAGGGTATAGCGTTGACTGCTCGAGCATTCGTTTTTCCTTGTGTTCCATACCCAGGGCGATGTGTCTGGTCGTCTGGGAGTGAAAGTACTAACCCCACCAACCTTATTTTGTCTCAGTATTATATACCATATCTTATCACCTAACGCCCAGCCCCCGCCTAACGCCCGATTTCACCCGCTATATCTATAACAATATCACAATGAAGTTTATTAACTTTTGTTGTAACAAGAATAAGATTCTTTTGTGATGGCTCTGGCCAACATAGATAAACTGATCTAATTGGGTGGTTCTAATACAAGAGAATCGCTTGAAGGAGAGAATTATACCACAAGTGAAGCTTTGGGATATCACCTCTCTTGAATACAAACAGAAAAAACAGGTAACACATCAGATGTCACTTCCACTCCAGTGGCCTTTATAGAGACCGTGCCTTCACATCTTTTGGCTATCTATTCTTCTCATTCTACGTATACTTTACAGTTGTTACAGACCCTTGTCTAGCGCGCCTTATCAGAAGGCGGACACGCAAGGCAGAAAACGATAGGACTACTATGACGGAGACGAGGAATGACTACAGTGGGCTGCCAAAACCAGTTTCAACACTGAAGATACTCTTCTTCCTACTGGGCGCCACAGCCAAGCCGCTAGGTCCGAACCTGGGTGTCCATAAAATGACCCTCATACATTTACACTCAATTAGTTATGCTTGCACGTGCCCAATGTTGCAAACCGAAGATGTTAAGTGGATCCTTTGCATCCTCAGAGTGTGAAATAATTGGTCCTCTACCAGCAACAGCTTTTCATGCAGATCTGAGCCTTAACTCCGAGACCAAAGGTCTTAACTCCATTTACTATGTACTCATTCTTCCCTTCCCCCAAATATATTATCAGATAGAGCAATCCCTCCGGTTCACGTTTCCTTTATTTAGAGATATTCTTGAACTTTTATATCAAACCTTGCAGGATGCTCTCTACATGTCTACTAGAATATGCCACCTGCGCAAGGTTTCTGCGTTTCGAGGGGTTATGTCCGTGACAAACCACAACAAAATACCCAGATGTATCATTATAAGCCCGTGTTGTTGTTTTCCACCGCTCCTTGTGGGTCGAGAAAACCTTGAATTATTAGATTAAGTGGTCGGAGCTGAGGCTTCATCAAAAATCATCAGCTGGTTCGGAGGGAAACATCTCTTATCTCCGGGACATAATTAAGTGTTACCACTAAGGCTTCCCAAGCAGGTATATTAAGAGCTCATTAGCAGTAGTCTCAACTTATTGTTTTGTTCCCTTGTTGCAAAAAAGAAAATTCTTTCATAAAGTCTCAATAGTTTAATCATGAAGTTTTTCGATGCACCTGCGCCAAACCCCATGGCAGTCCGTTTGTTCGTACTAGAACGTGGCGGCCTCAGTTTCAACGTTGAAACAATTGACATCATGAGCCTCCAAAATCGACGCCTTACATACCGTGCGATTAACCCCCGTGGCGAGGTTCCAGCCCTTCAACTTGACAATGGCACTATCCTCACTGAAATCACCGCCATTTACGAATACTTCGACGAAATTGCTGTTGGTGGTACGTCTCTTTTCGGCACCACCCCGGAGCAGCGTGCTGAGACTCGCATGTGGCTCCGAAGAATGGACCTGGAGATTTGTCAACCTGTTATCGCTTGGTTTAGGAATGATCCCACGACTTTGGATTTCTATAAGGGAAATCGACTTCCGACCCCGGAGGCGAGGGTGAATCAGAAAGTGATGATCAATCAAGCCCTGAACATGCTGGATGATCAATTGGAGGGAAAGGTCTGGTTATGTGACAACAGATTTTCTGCAGCAGATATTCACCTTTACGGATTGATGAAGATGATGACTATGCAAGTATGTGATTGGATGCTGTTGCCTGGACGAGAGAATTTCCTCGCATATTGGAAGAGATTGGAAGAGCGGGATGCTTCCCAGAAGGCCTTGCAAGGTTTCCCAGCTCACGTCGCTGTTTGAAAGTTTTCACCTCTTGTGTGTTGTGTTGCTGTCATCGGTTTTATTCTGAAGAACATCTTTCAATACCTAGAAACGAATTAGACTATTTTAATGTATTAGATAAAATCCCCTTTGAAGCAGCATTACAACTCGCAGCCCAGTTATATATAGCTTCAAATAATCTTTCGCAGCGGATCCTACGAAGCCGGATTTGGGGGCCCATCATGCTTCTGTAGTCATGCAGCAGCTCTCTCTATCTGTGTTCGGAGGTAGGGGATAAATATTTATGGGACCGAAAATCTCTATTTTTCTCCGGAGGCAGTCTTCTTATCCTTTATGGGAACACCTGACTGAAACAAGAATGAAAATGGAGGTTTCGATTGCTGTGTATGTGTACTTCCAGGCATTGTGCGATACATTCCTGGGTTTCAACTAAGACAGAATTACTAGCCCTAACTAGTACTAGTAAGTAATTTCTATAGTAAAAACACTTCTTTAGGATATGTCAGAGCCTATGGGAGCCTAAGGCAGCAACCACGTGACCTGACCACAACACCAAGGAATCTCTGTATGATAGATTTAGACCTTAAGACAATCAATCCCATTACACGTGAGCGACACCAGCTCCATCAGGATATTAGGATTCAATCTTAATTTTTATCTTTGTATTAAATGTGATAATTATTAAACAGTTAGTTTGCTTAAATCTGATATATCTATATATAGATCTAAGCTTAAATACATGGATATTTATAATTATTAGTTAGATAAGAAATCAGTGCCAATAATATTGATATTATATAGATTCTAACTAATTAAATAATTATAGATAGCCTAATAAAATACTTACCTAATGTTGCGTTTAGACTTGTTAGGCCCGCGGGTTGGGCCGAGTTTTTGAGGTTGTTCAACCCAGCCCGTTGGGTTTGGGCCGGGTTAAGATGATATACAAACCACCCACAGGTCAAGATATATATATATGAACCACCTGCAGGGGCCCATAACTGTAGATCCTTTTCTACTATAGTAATAATTTATATTCTTTATATAATATAGTCTTATAATACAGTAATTTATTTATATTATTATAGGTAAATAATATATTTACAGTATTTTTTGTCTTGGTAACCTGTAGGCTAACCCATTGACCCGTGGGCCATCCAGGGAAGAAACCCGGCCCATGCCGGGTTATTGCATTGGTCAACCCAGCCCATTTCTTGGCGGGTTAAACCAGGTTAGACCAGTTTTTATAGGCTAGGCCTAATAAGTCTAGTCTATATATCTAGATCAGAATATTCTATATAGTTATTAGACTAAATTACTATTTTATCTATAATAATTATATTCTCTTTTTTACACTAATTATCTCTAGTTAATATTTGTATATAGATTATATTTAGTAGAGAATATATCTTAAAAGTATAAGTAGTTTTATATAGAGCTATAAATATTATATAGAATAAAATCTAGCAGTAAATAGTGTGACGGCCGATCAATATAATGATATATTGGTGCTATCTTATCTAGAATTTCAAGCGTGAGGGGAAAGAGAAGGAAATGTTGTGGAGAAATATAAGATATGTGAGAGGAATTAGCATACTATGTATAAACAGCGCAAATACTGATAAATTCATTATATTACTTTCTCTTCTAGGCCTGACTGTCCTTAGTCAGGGATATATTATCTTCTGGATAGTCTTTAATAAATTAATTCTTCTCAGAAGCTTTAATCTATAGAGCTAAATGTTTTGGAAATCCTGGACAGTTAGGATTCTTATTATAGTAATTATAGAGTAAGAATACTATATTTTTAAAATTCTCTATAGGATATCATATCTAATTAGTATTATCAGAGCTAAGTTATTTAGTATAATAAATAAGATATTCTAGATATATATAGCTTACAAGTATCTTCTTTATTTTTTATTTAGTATAATTATTTATCTAAATTAATTTTTAGAGTATCCTGAATTTATCCTGGTAAGAAATTAGTTTTTACTCTATAGTATAGCTTCTCAGAGTAGAAAATAGGATATATATAAATATTCTCTAGAAGTAAGACCTTAAATAAATAATCTATTTTCTTAATTATTAATACTAGACTATACTATTCTTTAGTAAGTTTTTAGAATAACTATTTCCAGTACTAATTTTATATATCTATAAATATCTTATCTTTTATCTAAAAATTAACTAATTAATAATAGCAGTTTACTTAATATATCTATTATTTCTAAATGTATTATATATTAATATAAGTAAAATCCTAAACTTACTTTATTTTCTCTATAAAAGCTTGAGCTTATTTATAAGTTATAGTAATTAATTCAGAAGTCTATAGAGAAATCTAGTTAAATAAGATATAAGACTTATAGCTATATTCTATTATAAATAAAAGTAGACCAGTAATTTTATATAACAGTATAGTAATAGTAAAGTTAATCAGTAATAATAATTTTAATTAGTTATTCTAGAAATAACTAATAAATAGAATTAGCTATTATATAGTATATTAATTAATAATTTCTATTTATCTATTTATCTATAAATAATATATAATAGAGAGCTTTAGCTTTATCTATAGAATTCTATAGAATTTATTCTAGAAATTAGTAATAAACTATTTTTTTTAGTTTAATATAATTATATTTAGTAATTTAGTTTAAAAATAGATTTATTTAATAAAGA